CGGGTGATCCAGGCTGACCTGGACAGGCTCAGCAAGTGGGTGGACGAGAATCTGATGGTGTTCAACGCCGATAAATGCAAGGTTCTCCACCTTGGGAGGAAAAACTTGTAGCATGCTTATAGGCTCAGCAGTGCTACACTGACTAGCACTACAGATGAGAGGGACTTGGGGGTCATGGTTGACCGCAAGATGAACATAAGCCTGCAATGTGATGCTGCAGCTAGTAAATTGAGCAAAACGCTGGCTTGCATCCATAGATGCTTCTCAAGGAAATCCCGGATGTCATTTTCCCCTTGTACCTGGCCTTGGTGAGGCCGCAGCTGGAGTACTGCATCCAGTTTTGGGCTCCACAATTCAAAAAGGATGTAGAGAAGCTTGAGAGAGTGCAGAGAAGAGCCACACGCACGATCAGAGGTCAGGAAAACAGACCTAATGAAGAGAGGTTGAGAGCCATGGGACTCTTCAGCCTGGAGAAGCTCAGGCTCAGGGGTGATCTGATGGCCACCTATAAGTGTATCTGGGGTGACCACCAGGATCTGGAGGAACGTCTGTTCACCAGAGCGCCCGAAGGGATGACAGGGGCGAATGGTCACAAACTCGACCGCGACCGATTCAGGCTGGACATAAGGAAGAATCTCTTTACTGTCTGATCCCCCAAGGTCTGCAATAGACTGCCATCGGAGGCGGTTCAAGCACCCACTTTGAACACCTTCTAGAGACATTTGGGTGCTCATCTTGCTGGGATCCTATGACCCCTGCTGACTTCCTGCCCTTTGGGCGGGGGGCTGGACTCAATGATCTTCTGAGGTCCCTTCCAGCCCTGATGTCTATGAATCTATGAACCTCGTGGGCAGGGGGCAGCGGGCTGGGCAGGGCAGCGGGATGCAGGAGCTGGGCTGGGGGCTGCAGGGGGGCACCTGGGTTGGTGTCGGGGCTGTGGGTCGGGAGTGAGGGGCACCCCCTGCCCCCCGCCATCTGGCCCCGCTGCTACTATCACCCTCTGGAGCTGCCCCACTCCCCACACCGAAGCTCAGCGCCTCACCCAGCCTGTGCCCACAGAGCCCCCATGGCCTGGGCTCGAGGGCCAGCTCCAGGTTGGGGTCAGGGCACTGCAGGGGGGCAGCGAGCTGGGATGTCTGGTTGTCCTCCAGCTGGAGGGGTCTGGGGAGCTAGATCGGGGGGGAGCCCTTATACCAGGTTGTCCCACAGCTGGGGGGCTGCAGGGGGTTGTGGGGGGGAGTTCTCCCCCCACTTGCAGATGGCAGGGGGGTGCGGGGATATCAGCAGTGCAGTCTTCTTGCCTCGGTCTTCTCTCTGACTCGGGGGGTCCTGGGGTAAGAGCTGGGGAGTCCCAGACCTGGTCCTGGGGGTATTGATGGGGGTCCGGACCCCAGGGTTCCCCACCCCACCCCAGGCTCCCCCCCAACGCTTGACATCAGGATGCATGATGACACAGCTGGGCGAGGACGTCACGGGGCGCCCGGGGCTGCACTGCCTTGCACGCTCCGCTGCCTCCATGGGCTCCGGGGCTGGCGGGGGTTGGGGTGCTGGCTGCAGCTGCACATGGAGGGCCATCCCAGCCTGCCGTGCCCCGCTGCAGTGCGGGATGCAGCTGCTTCCGGGGGGGACCCTGGGCTCTGCACCCCTGCTCCCTGCCTGCTTGCCCCTCCTGCCTGCTCGCAGCCCCCAGCCCGGGCCTGGGGGCAGGACTCCCCTGGGAGCATCGCACCCCGGGAGCCCCAGCACATGCCCCGTGGAGGAGGGAAGATGCTGGTTCTGACTGGGAGTGACCACTGTGAGCAGGGGGAAATCCCTTCCTGCCCCAGTGCAGTGTAGGGCTAAGCCTGAGCGCAGGGGCAAGACCCTCCAGCCAGGACCCTGCGGGGTTGGTGCAGCAGGAGCATTGGCACGGCCCAGCCCAGCCCCAGCCAGGGCTACATCACCCAGTGCCTCTGGGGGAGGATTGAAATAAAGACTCATCATGACACAGAGCAACACGACAGGGGATTCCCTCCCAGCAGCCACCAGCACAGCCCAGACCCTGGGACACCCCCAGAGCAGGGCACTGGTATCAGCTTCTCTGTGCCCAGCACCCGTCCATCCTCTCCTTGACCCCCCCAGGGATGCAGAGTTCCCCTCCCCTGACATCTCCCCGCTCCTCCCTGCTCTGCCAGTGCAGACCTGTGCGAGGGGCTAGCTGGCAGTGACCTAGCCCAGGGGTTTTGAAAGGGCAAAAGATGATTGGAGGACTGTGGATTCCTTTTCCTCACCAATCAGGCCCCAGAGACTCACCCCTCATGTCCCCTGAATGGCCCCTTGGGTCACCTAGAGGGGGATAAAAGGGGCAGCGCGGCTGACTCAGGGACGAAACCAGTGAGGTACCATGAGGAAGGAGCTGGCAAGAGCGGAGCCAGCGGGGCGGGAGCAGCTGCCCCAGAAGAGCCTGAAGGAGCAGGACCTGCAGGCAGCAGTGGGACCCTCCGGCAGGAGAGTCGCCCGCTGCGCTCCAGGATCCCCTACGATGGGCTGTGGCCAGCAGGAGAGGCTGCCCACTCTAGCAAGGATCTGAGCAGCGACCTGAGAGGTTCCCAGCTCGGCTTCCAGCTCCTCCAGTCAGAGACCAGGCAGCTCCACGTGAGGCCGGGGCTCCAGGATGGTCAAGACCCCCAGCAGCTTGGGGCAGTGCCAGCACTGGTGGCGGTGTGGCAGTGCTTCTGCTTACCACGTGGGAGATCTGAGTTTATGTCCCAGCTTTGGTGACTTGTGGGGAGTGAGCTAACAAGGAGAAATCCCTCTTGCAGTGGAAAGGGACTATTGTGTTTTCCCCCTTTCTCCCCCTCCAGGTACCCAGGCCCTATATTTCTTTGTCCTTTGACATTTTGTATTTTGTGCCTTTTTAGATTCCCCCAACCAGTATTGTTTGCTCTGCTGTTTGTGTTATATTTTGTTAGCCGTGTCTTTTGCCAACGATCGTAAGTGTTTAACCTCTGTTGAATCCTGCCCCTTGGGGCATTGTAGTGTCCCCTATACCCCCTGGTTATGCCTGTTATGTTCCCAGTATTGTTCCCTCATTAAAAGGGAACCAAGATATATGGTTAAATTTCCCGCGGTGGGATGGTTCTGCTCTAGAAGGGGAGGAGTGTCCCTACACCTCCCACAGCACTTGTGCACCTAATTTGATGCCTTTAATTGGAGAGGGGGTACCTTTTGGAGTACGGCCCGGGTTACAAGCAGAACCAGCAAGAGAGAGGAGCTCAGCACCTTCTCCCGGCCTGGGGGTGCTGGGAGCTGTGCGGAGCCGGGTGTGCTCGCGGAGCGGGTCTGCGATGCCCGACACGGCCGGGACTGCTGCTTCCCGCGTTTGCGGGGGAGTCCTGAGAGGCGGAGAAAGGGGCTGCGGAGGCCGGGACGGAGCCGGGCCGTGAGCGCTGTGCTCCGGGCACGGCCGTGCGGGGCTGGAGCCAGCGTGTGCGGGGCACGAGCCACAGCCAAGCGGGACAGGCGTCACCAGCAGTGACAGCCCTGAGTTTCCTGCCCAGGGAAAGGCTGGGTGAGGTTTAGGTGGCAGCAGGGTGGTGCAGGGGGGTGGGTGCAGGACACAGTTATTGCCCCCCCCATGCAATAATCCCTGTCTGAAAGCTTTCAGGAAAAGAGATTGTTTTGCGATGCCCTAGTTGGTCTAATAACAGGTTTCATTTCTGAACCAGGAGTTCTAGGTTTCTTTTTGTCTCCCAACAGCATGGCTACCAAATACATCCCGAGCCTCAGATGTGGAGCTTTTACAATAATTGCCCAACTGCTTGGACTAGGGTTTTCTTGGGTCTCTCTGCACTGTTGCCTTTGCCTTTGCCCTGGGGGCCCTGCGCTGTGCCCAGGAGGGCAGGGAGGGGATGCAGGGCCCTGGAAAAGGCTCCACACCCCGCACATGCACCCACAGCCCCCCACCCCTTCACAGACATAGAGGAGGTGGGTGTCCAAATGCTTGCAAATAAATTTTTGCAGCTAGTTAGTTGGTTTAATAAAAGCTATATGGGGGATACATCATATATATGTGGGGGCCCTGCGCTGTGCCCAGGAGGGCAGGGAGGGGATGCAGGGCCCTGGAAAAGGCTCCACACCCCGCACATGCACCCACAGCCCCCCACCCCTTCACAGACATAGAGGAGGTGGGTGTCCAAATGCTTGCAAATAAATTTTTGCAGCTAGTTAGTTGGTTTAATAAAAGCTATATGGGGGATACATCATATATATGTTCATAGATGTTACGGTCGGAAGGGACCTCAATAGATCATCGAGTCCGACCCCCTGTGTAGGCAGGAAAGAGT